TATTTCTTGGGATGCCTGCGTCCAAATATAAATGTATATACACACATATACCTCCTGAACTGCTCTCACCTCAAGTTCGCGCGCTCTTCTCCACCTCCTTCCTCCACTCCCCAATGCTTCCACGGTCACCCCTCTTCACATATGCCGTCTTTATCTCTCTCTGCACATCTTCAGGTTGCTCCCGCCAGTTTATCCTACTTGACCGTTTGTGTCACCCGAACATTTCGAATTCTGTCTGTCCGCCCCGCCCCCCCTCTCACACGAGAGGGTTTGCGGGCACCCCACCCTGGCATTTCACTGCCGTCCGAGCATTCCCTCCGCTGCTGTGAATGCAACGGCGCGTTGAATATCTGAGGCACCGTCGGTGGCAACTCGCGTAAATCTGCCGGCTCAGCGCGCTGACTGAGCGTGATCTGCGCGTTCGCCTGCATGAATCTGCTCGACGTAAGCTTTCGCCACGAGAGTTGAAGATCGATGTGCAGTCAGTCAGTAGTATGCGCTCGCTCGCTCGCTCGCTCGCGTGCGTGCTCGCAGGCTCTCCTAACTGTCGGATTTAGACTGTCGGCATAGTCGACCGGCGCATAACAGCGCCCACCCGCCTCCCCCCCCTTCATACGCCCCCAACACACATTCGCACAGCGTCTGCAGGCGCGGGGTTTTTAAGCACACTGAGCCGAAGTGCTATTTTTAGGTCATTCGCCTCGCCTTTTGGCCGTCTTGTCTGTACCGTTTAGGGACTTTCATTCTGCGGGGCTTACCACGAAAAGTGCACTGCTTCTTCCTAGGCGATCATACTTTTGGAGTGACCACTGGTGATTACGCCGTCGACCCACATCTGTGTAACACGAGCACGCCCCATTATTGTCACAGCTGATGAACGCGGAGGTAATCGTGTCTTTTGCTCTGTGTCACTTTCGGGCAAAATTAACCTTGCCGGCCACAGCCATAAGTTTTCAGAGCAATCAGACCAAGACTTTCCCGTTTTCTATGACAAGTTTACCCCCATCCGCACAGGATGCTTAGTCATTATCCTTTTAAGCAGTGGGTAACTTGATACGAAATGTATTCGGCTACTGAGGAACAGAGCCAGGCTCGACGTTTCGGATCTGTGCTCAAAGGCCAGCATCAGGGGCGAAGTCGGACACGAGAGGCCGTGGCATTTCTAGACCACATGCTTGATTACGTACGTATAGAGGACAACTGAAAACAAAGCTCAACTAATTCTCATTCAAAGCGCACGCGAGGAAACTTGCCAACATACGTATGGCGGATGAGAATGCTCAGATAGCACACTCACACGAGAAGCGCGAGAAGCCGGGCACGATGGGAGTGGGGACCGTGTTGTGTGTGGTACGCGTAGACGGTCGGCTCAGGTTTTTCAAACATTGCGTCCCTACACCCCATTTCTGCTCGCCCCCTCCTTACCCTCGGAATACGGTGGGTATAGGTCCAGAGAATGAGGTTGGTTCAGCGAAAGTCTGCCTGACTGTACCAGAATTCTCTCAAAAGTCATCCATACCTCCATCGCGTGGTGTAGGTGAGGAGGTCGTCTTTTACAACGGTCAAACTGCCGACCTAAGTGTCGTGACCGAATGCAGTTTTACTTTCTTACCATTTGGAACCTGCCCTGTCAACCTGTCCTCTGGTTGTCTGCGGTTTATTATACGTTACCTTCTACTGGAGATAACATGCCAGTCCATTTGTGCGAGATATCTCTCCCTTAATCACTACAGACAGTTTAATATCTATTCGCTGGGGTATTTTTCCTGTTCTCACTAGGCTGATTTGTTATTCCTATCCCAGACGAAATGCGATGTCCCTCCCCTTTAAAGCCTACATCCATCCTAGACTAGTCTCCTATAGTTGGTGTTTAAACCGAAAAAGTATGCCTCTGCTAATTGCAAGCTTCATATGTCACTAAAATGTATGAGAATAACCATCAGCTAGGCTTTTGGAATCTCTATAATGTATACCTTTTGACCTTAATCTCTTCCGGTGTGGTTAAAATGGTTGTAATGAAAAGTCTTCGGATAGACAGCCTCCGTGACCTTGGGTGCCGTATGTATGCCTCACAGTTACCGGTCGGATCTCAATTCGTAGCTGTACCTGCAGTAGACAAGCACCAGCCTGACCCCTAACCCTAACACCGAGCCCCTCACTCCAACCCCAACCTTAATTACCTAACTCGTAACCGCAGCCCTTAACCCTTAACCCCTAACATATACGGCCACGAAATGAGATCTTGCCAAGTTACTGTCTAGAAGCACAGTTTTTCACTGGCTTCTTTGAGAAGGGAACCCAGCTAACAGTGATAATTATTTTAATTAGATATCCGGCGGGGTTTTAAGTACGTATTGACATGTAACGTCTGCTGAACTTAGCTTTTATCCAACTGTGAATCTCTCCGCACACTGTTGATTGACAAGATAGTCAGCGATTTGAGCATTAATAGAAACCTGGGTCGTGCATTCTACAGTGCCTCCCGAGATGAGTCATGAGTTCCTGTCCAGTCGCGCGTATTATCACTCGTTCTGTCTGGCCGGGGGGATAAATGACGGACCTGAGCATCGCACGTCTTGTCCTACTTCATTAGAATTTTGGCAGTGCACCAGGCAGCAAGGCGGACATCGCATTACGCGCACATTCTCCATCCTTCTACTCCTCCTCCTCCTCCTCCTCCTCCTCCTCCTCCTCATCATCATCATCATCATCATCGTCGTCGTCATCATCACTTTCTTCTTCTTCTTCTTCTTCTTCTTCTTCTTCTTCTTCTTCTTCTTCTTCTTCTTCTTCTTCTTCTTTATTTATTTATTTATTTATTTATTTTTATTAGTTCCCCTCTGCTAGCCCGACTGCCAATCACGTTTGTCAATTAGATTTTAGTTATGTGCCTAGTTTCGTGGGGGTCGGTTAGTACTACTCAGGCTCTTTCCATTGAACGGCTGTTTTAACTCGCCGATAAACTAAGGGCTACTTTTTCGGACACTTTACTACCATTTTAGGTATTTTGCAGGTCAAGCGCTCATTACGTGTTCTGCTCCCCAATTGTAAGCGTGTTCCCGAACGTCCGTTGTACTGGCATTCGTGTTTTACTCAGGGTCTTAAATCCGCAATCGACAATGCGTATTTCGGTAAAGATCTAAAGAGGTCTGTAGCCTTGATAAAGTATATACATCAATATGTCCCATCGTTAGTTATTTGCTTTCCTGATTCGATTTCATCCTATCAGTGGGTGGAATTCATTCGTGCACTTATACAATTTCTGGTATCCTTGAGGCAGTTGTATTTTTAACTTTTGTGAAATATGGGTGACCTCTGGCATTTTTTTAAACCTCCGCTTTTATTTCGTAGTTATTTTTGACACCTTGTCAAATTCTCTATCTAAAGCAGACTTGCGTGACCTATTGACTCTCCTACTTATCACTTTGAACCTTAGCCCATTGATGCTAAAATTGACGATTGCCACGTGACCTATTAACTCCATTTAAAGCGACTGCAAGTCAAAATAATCCACTTTTATGCGAACTCCAGAACGGCTTCAAGGACCCTGTATTCTACTGCTATCCTACTGCTAAGGACGAATGTAATTTTCTGTGAACTATTGGAGTTTTCGGGTTAAACACAAATGATGAAGGATATTTTTGTCGGCCAATTTTACTGCATGTGACTGTGGCATACGCAGGCCAGGTTTCGAATTTGCTTGTTTTAAACTATGCCTTTTTGCGGCGTTCTTACATTCCATGTTTGATATACGCAATGTCCGATATGGCTTGTTTTTTTTCTCCTGCGCACACGTACACTCGCAATTCATCTTCTTTCGCCCATTTGCTATCCTCAAATGTTTGCCCCGTAGGAAGCTAAACAGAAACGCCTCCGCACCTCCGTCAGTTGAGACGCTGAGCCGCAGACCCTGTATTAGATCTACATCACGAGGAGTTCTTATGTTACTTGTTACTGTTTCTCCTCCCCTTTTGACCCAACCCACGCGCTTCCTGATTTTATTATCGATCCTGAGCAGTTCTACAGGAATGCGGTATTTTCGTAATGCCAATGTATGTTATTACTGAACGTTTAATAGTAATACTTCATGTGGCATTTTGTTCGAACTTCGCGTACTTCCCTCCTATTCTTGTATGTCTCCAGTTTACGGTCAGACCTCTCAGATTTACCTCATTCGACTACAATTCTAGTTTCCGGATTTCCCATTTTTACCAAGCATAGCGTAAAGTTCGACAAACATGCTATCAATCATTCTCTCTTTGATGAGGTTAGGTTTAGGTGCATGCTAAGTAGGAGGTTTTGTCAGTGGTTAGAGGCGTTGAACTCCTAACTAACAGGTCGCGGGGTCGAGACCCAGAAGTTCCACATTTCGGCATTTCGGGGTTGAGTATGACTGGCTGACGACGCAAATAAGCCAGAAATGACCGTTCCAGTCTACCTTGTCCTTGTTGGTAATGCTATTCTGCCCATATCATGTGCCGCTTCACGTCTGCCGGTTGGACTGGAGAAAGAGCCCTAAAGCACCACGGGACGAGTGAGTTTCATAGAAACGATCGGTGTGCGCCCCTCTACCGAAGTTTATATTTGTACGTTCTCGGACAGTTATTTGCTTATCGCATGCAAATACGTAAAAGGTACCCGTTTCAGTGTTCTTTATGTATGAGTGCCTTTTTATTCCACGTATTCATAACCATCAGGGAGTTAAGGGGTGTTCCCTCACCTTTTAAACGCAATTGGCTCGTGAATACCGTGCGTAGTGCCAACTCCTAGTTTGTTATCTTCAGACGTCAAGCAGTTTGCTCAACCCACGTGCAGATTTGACTGTTACTAGGTCTTCATGACCGCCGCATTTGCCAAATTTTCGACCCATTATCCCGTCACCACAGTTTATCCGTTTTTATGAGAATAACCCATCTTGGGAAATATGGTCAGTCAGCAATTGAGCACGTTTCGCGATTGTCTTCTCATTCTGCTTACTTTACCTCACCTTCAGTCCATAAATGGCAAGCAACACCTTCGCGGAGGGCTTTGCGCGAAAGCGTATTCTACCCCAGCAGCAGGGCCAATCAGATTTCAGTTTTGAGAACGAAAGCGGTGCCAAGGCTGGTCTCAACTACCAGAGCCTAGTGCCGGCAGCGGGCAAGCCCAGACGGAGGCCTCGGACGGGCGGCGGTGCCAAGAGGCCCCCGCGCAATTTCCGACGTCAAAGCGCCGCCGAACTCAAGCGCACTTTGGGCCTCCGCGGTACACCCGAGGATACACGTGGCAGCAAGCTGGTCTGTCCCTCGGACCTACCCCTCCGTCTGCACAATCTGTGGGTGGGATACTCCGAGACGGTTCTAAACCTGGCCGCTGCGCGGTCTGTTGACCAACTGTCGACGCGTCTGGAAACCGTACTTCGGATGGATCTCATTGGGGCGCCCATGCGGGTGAAGAAGTCCACGTCAACCCGGCAGGTAACCTCTTTTCCTCATTGCGACTGGCTTATCCTGCCCCAGCTTGACATCAGCTTTTGTAAAGCGAATCGAATAGGACCAATAGGGCTATTTACTCTTGAAAGATTTTTTGTTTACACATACTACTTTCTACGTATGTACTGGAAGATGGGCATCCCAAGAAACATAATTCGAATAAGAATGAGTCCTTTGGAAAATGAACAAACGTTATTTCGTAAATTTTCGAGTCTGGTTCCCAAGCTCGTCTTCAGACGTGTAGTAAGTGTGAAGAAACAGTCAAAATTTAAACATGCCCAAAAAATTGATATTGCTTCGTCATGGCTGAGGATGGGTCAATGCTGTGGGCTGATGTCACGTCTTGATTGGATATTACCTTTTCCACTTTTCCTTGAAATTTGTGTACTTGGCGTCTAGATCAATGTGTCAATTGATGCATGAATCATCAGAGTGAATGGCCTCCAAGAATTCTCGGCCTTTCTTATGTGGGCAGGAACCGACAATGCGGGTTTTATCCCAAGCGAATTTGTGCCCAGTTTCAAGAGTATGCATGGCGACTTGGGATAAGTGGTCCCGCCTCTACACTGACAATTTGTGTTCACGTAGGCGTGTAAAGGCGGGTTTTCCGGTTTGACCACAATATACTGTATTACAAGTGCCACATGGAATCGTATACACTACTTCTTTTTTATACAAATAGCCAACCCTATCCTTGGGGTGTACAAGCCGATTGCGTAGCGTGGTCGTCAGTTTGTAAGCCACTTGTATTTGGTGCTTCCTCAGGTGTCTTTCAACGAGTACAGACACATGTTTGATGTAGGGAAGCGTTCGTCAATATTTTGGTTTTGGCGTCTGATCGGAACAATTTAGTTCCTTCTCTATTAGTCTGACGTAAGACATTGGTGCACTTCCAAAGCGTTGGTTCAGTCCGGGACTGTCTTAACACCCTTGAGGACAAACTAGTCAATATAACTAACACATTTTACCACGCGAAACAGATCATTAAGATGTACAGCCGACCGGAGATCCAGATGTATTTACCCAGACACTTTTGGCAGGGTCCATGTCTAATGACCAGTTTCTAACTTGCCGCACACCTACTATCCAAAGCACCGATCACGTAGTCAAACTATCCGATTTCATCCTCCACTTGCACGAATTCAGCGCTCATTTAGCCTCGAAGGCTACTCAAAGGTCACTAGCAGTGATGGTCAGGCAGTAAGAACTCATTCTCAGCGTGACCCTAATAGCATTATTGCTCATGTAAGGCTTGAGTGGCCCTGGTGTAGCTATTGCGGACTAGGTCATGTGTGTACGCACGCCCAGAGACGACCTGTTTAGCTGCGTCCGCACCCACCTCCGGTTATCTTGACATTGTCTTGGAGCACTTCCAGTTGTCTTATTATCAGTGCAGGCTGGTTGAGAGTAAAAACGCTGCGGTAGATGCAGCGCAAGTCGGTCCCTTGCTCAAATCACCCGTGCGGCGCCCGTCCCGTGGGGCACGGCTGCGGGTACGTTCGTGTTTTCCTTCAATGCCTACGGGCTAGCGATTTCCCATTGAAGGCATGACCATGGTTGGCGTTAGGTTTATGGCTGGCTACGGTCTCCCCAAGGGGAGTTACACATCATACCTCATTTGGCAATAATGCGTTACGTGGATGACTGCCACAGTGGTTTAAGGGTCTATGGTTTATGGTAAAGTCATGCAGCCCAACAGGATAAGTGGTCCAGTCATTGTTGCCAGCTAGATTGCCATTAGCCGGTATACGTTGCTGTGAGCCCTGTAAGTTGATTATTTTTTTGCCTGAGCATACCAACTCGGTCCAAACTGATGCCTTAGAAGCCGATGCCCATTCCCTTCCCTGCCCCTTATCAATACAAAAATTTAACTCTCAATAACCACTTCTGGGCTAGCCTGCGTCGTGGAGTTTGATAGGCGGAACGTTATGGTAGCTTGTACCTCAGTTCCTCAGACCATTTTTGACCGATTACATCTAAGAATCGCACCCGGCGCACTTTTGAAATCGACCCTCATTTTCTCTCGCTTTCAACTCACGCACGCGTATCTCTTTTAACACAGCGAAGGGATAGGTGTCTAACTGAAATAGGAGTTCACCCCTTCATATTTGCGCTAATTAATGATGCCGACCTCTGAGCACGCTCCGGGAACTTTGAAAAAAGCCGATTTTCCTCTGATGACAGCTCACTTGAACAGTACTGAAATCGAAAACAAGCATGTACAGCAGAATTTATTGGGGCCTATAAATTTCGTGACGGCTTTTCAACTGCAGCCCGTCTCTGCATAACATAGGTAACGAATGAAAGCGCACAGCAGTATGAATTTGTACAGAATGACAGTGCATAAGAGCAAGGTCAAGGTTCAAGGCAATGAATAATCAGATAAGACGTCCACATAAGCATCATATAGGAAAGAGGGAGACGAAATGTTAACAACAAATCACAGTCAGGGGAGACTAGATGTGTGAGATTACCAGGGCAATTGCAGATTGATCACGTGATCTAACTGCTTGCACAGGTCTGGTTTCTCTCTCCGTATGTATGCTGCTTCCAAATAACGCAAGGTTCGAGTTGTATTTGCTCGGACAAGTACTCGAAAAGATGCTTTAGGGTCGACAACATGACCGCTATCTAACAGGTGTTTCGTTATAGACGAACGCGGGGTTTTGTTTTCCTGTTTGAAAAGCCAATTAGGCAAATGCTCAGCGGCCCTTGTTGCCAATTGCCTTTGCGTACGCCCAATGTACTTGCATCCGCAAGTGCATGTGAATTCATACACACAATTTGGGGTGGCGTGCATTGGCAAGGCATCCTTTGCCCGGTTAATTGGAAGGCTTTTTGTGGAACTAATGAAGATAAGCTCTGCTGCGTTGTACGTTCTTTCTATAGTGCAACGCAAGCGTCGCTTGATTATGTTTGAGACGTTGTCACCCTTAAAAGGTAGACATATTATAACGGGCTTCTTCGGAACGGACTGTTCCGTCAACTTTGGCCGTAAATTGTTGCTGTACTTCTGAATGAAGCGTGCAGGATAACCACGATTAAGCAAGGCTTCTTTGATTCGGGCAGTTTCTGTATCTATGGTCTCCCTGGAGCAAATATTTCTCGCTCTTTGAAAAAGAAAAGTACTGAAATCAATGACTCAGATCATGGTTTTTAGCGTTTTTGGCGAAAGAGCTGGCAAGAATGTGATTTATGGCCGGGACTACTTTCTCCGGGAAGCATTTGCCCTCTATATTGTTACCAATTAAAGGGAGACATTTTTTACTATCTGATAATAATAGTAAATGTATTTAATGTCCCTATTCAAGCATTGTCGAAAAGGCACTACATTGTATTTTTACTCCCTCGCTCTCACGCAACAGTCACCACGAGGCCTTTTTTGTCTTCCTCTGTCACGCACAAATAAATATCGCCAGTTATTTTCTTCTAGAGCAATTGTTCCCCAGAGTAAGTAACTTCGACCATAAACCACATTCCTGCCAAAAGGCATTCTCATTTGAAGTAAAGACTTATCCACCTCAGAGTTGAAGTTACAGAACTTGAAATGTGGACGATGTGCTAGCCTTCGAATGAATGATTTCTCCCGTTCCTCTTGAGTCAACCTTTTTCATCGCCTAAGGCTGGTAGCACTTTTCTAAAACCAGAAAGTTACGAACTACTTTCCTGCTATTTTAAATTAACAGTCGCCGTCTACGTTAGCCAATTTACTTTTGGGGTAGGGCGTGTCATACTAATTTTACTTTACCAAAAAACGTAAAAGTCTCGGCATGTCTCTCTTTACACTGCATTTTTTAAGCTAACTCCTTCCTTTCTGTCCCAGGCTGGTCTTGAGGGTATTGTCGTCATGGAGACGCGGAACGTCTTTTACATTGCCGATTTCCCTCAACGAACAGTGGACGCCCCCGCTGACATTGCCGCCTCTCCGACTCCATCAAGTACCCAGACGACTGGCTGCACTACTCCATGCACCCAACCGCGTCTTCATATTGTGCCCAAAGGAGGCACTCTTTTCGTCCTAATGCTTGGCGATGTCTGCGGCCCTTCAGGTCTCAGCGCAGAGGTTGTCCTAGATGGCAGCGCCCTAGCACACAGACCCGCAGACAGGGCGTTGAGAAAGTGGCGCCTGCAGGCAGGGGGCAGTGCCTCCAAGAAGTTGGCTGCGAGACGCCGTATCTGGCAGGATACCCTGTTTTGCGCCGTCGGCGTCCAACCACCGGACGAAACTGATTGATGTTTGTCAGCTTTTTTATATCAACTGTCTTGTATCGGTATTGGTATTGGTATATACGTAAACGCACGGCCTTTCGTTGGTACACCTACCTGCTTTCTTTTCAGTAGTGTCAGGTACTGTTGCTTTTTGCCAAAAATTCCGGGCGGCAAATCGAACGGCTATTGTAAAGGAGACTCGCTAGGACTGGCTGACATTGCCCTCTAAACAGCACTTGAGATCAGGAACCGCCTACAATACGATTGACTTTGAGCCAACTTACAGTGAAGTCAGGGCTAGGTTTAAAGTTAGGGTTAGGGCTAGGTTAAGGGTTAGTCTTAAGTCTTAATTTGAAGTTAACCTTAAGACAAGTCAGGATCAAGTTTAAGGTCAAGATAGGGGCTAGTGTTAACTGCAGAGTTAAGGTTTGGGGTAGGCTTAGGGCCAAGATTAGGGAAAGTGTTTCGTTTTATGCTAGGGTCATTGTTGGGGTTACGACACGAGAATATTTTGTCTTTTCCGGAATAATGCTCAGGTCCACCTTTATTTCATGGACGGGACGTCCATATTTTCATATCCATATGTCAGTCCTATTAAGGACTCTAGTTAGCAAGAAATTTTCCATATAGCACGTGAAATGGCGTTGGGCGGTCGATTTACATGTTTGTTTTTTTTTCAGTAGTTATATGCGTATAGGATCCATGTTCGGAGGTAGAAAGGCTGTTCAGTTGGTAAGGTCGCAGTTGGTAGCCAGGAATGGGGAGGCGAACAGCCAGGTCCCTGTCGTACGGGAATGGTGGGAAAGGAGGTTATATGGGTGGGGTAAATGGAAAGGCTGGTAGAGGAATGCTGGAGTTTCTGGGTAAAAGTAAAGTTACCAGGGAAAGTGCTGGGAAGTTTTAAGTAGGTGGAATAAGGGCAGAAATTTAAACCCTACGCTTAACCCTAAAATCCAACCCTGACCGCAACCGTAAAGACTAACCCTAAGCCTCAAAACCGAAACACGACCAAAATCCTAAAACATAGCCATAACACTAACACTAACCATAAACTTAACCCTAACCTTAAGTCTAACCCTAAACATGAGCCTTACCCTAACCTTAGCCCTAACCTTAACCGTAACCATGACGGGAACCTTAACCCTAACACTAGGACCTGACCCTAGAACGCAAACCCTAATCATAAAACGTAACCTACGCCTAACCTTAACCCTCACTAAACCCAACAGCCTGACCGAAACGGGTGACCTGCCTAACTCAGTAAGAGCGCACCTACTGATAACAAGTTCCCCAGACAAGGTAAGCAAAGCTACTGATAACAAGTACGTACGTTGACAGTATCAACATATAATGCCTGGCTACCAACTGTGATCTTACCTCGAAGTCTAGTGACTTCAGGATCAGGTGCGGTCCCCCTAACTGGTCTCGGAGCAATGCGCCAAAACAACCTCCGAAACTCCGGAGTAAGGCATAAAGTGTCGTATGTTTGAGTAAATAGCAGCTACGGACCTTGGGGAGATGAAGGCCAGAGCACCCGATTAATGGGCTTTAGGGTTGGCCGATCCGTATTCCTCCAGATGGTCTCGGTCGGTATTAATAGTTTTCCCGAGCAGGTGCGTAGTATGGGAATTGGGGGAGAGCTGTCTACCATGTAAATGCTTTCTTAATGTTTATGTGTATCGCCCTCCCAATACCGTGAGCCTGATTATGCAGAACAGCGGGTATTCAAACATTTAAGGTGAATAAAAATAACCTTTCCTGTCGGTAATCAGCAGCTTGCAGCTTTCGCGTCAGGAAGAGCCTGGACGCCTTCCTCCAAATAACCGTTGTGCTCATTATGGAGCTGCTGTCAGGGGTTACGGTAGGGAGTGACATTTTTCCACACATTTTCACACTCCAGCGGTGGGTGTTGGTGGTCCTGCTTTGGACGCCTTCTGCAACTCCGCACCCTTTGCGCTTAATTGTGCACACATATCGGTGGCAGTCTGGTCCTCGGCCAATCGTAACTATCTAAACTGGCCAATGGACTTCATGGCCGACTCAAAGGTGCTCTCGCTGGAGGCGCTCCGACGCCTGTCCCGGTTGGACTCGGACGCCTGCTCTTTTGGCGCTGGACATTTGCCTTCGCCTGTCCCACAACTTGTCCAACTTCTTCTCCATTCGTTCTATGCAGAATACCATGTTCTCTCTACTGTTATCGAGCTTCACCTATTCGGTTATGGGCGTGATGGTCGTGGTGCCGTGACAGATGCTTGCAATCGATGTAGTTCGTGTTAGCTAGGGTCTGCATATGATCTAAGCCGCCACGACAGTTGCACGTTAGCAAGTCAGTTTTACCGTTCGTCAGTTTTTAAATATATGTTTTTGTCGAATGGAAGAGAATACGCGCATCCCAGGTTCTTGTTTAAAAGAAGGCGAAGGCACGATCACTGGAACAGTAGGTTTATTTGCCTGAGCTTTCGAACTCGAACTAGAGTTCATCATCAGAGGCTACTCGAGTTTTTGTTACTCGGAATTTTCCGTCGCTTGGCCTGTAGCGGGCAGCCATAATGACCGGTCTGGCGTCATTGTTTAAGACTTCGCTGCCTCATTCACCCCTTGCAGCGAGCCGACCCAAACGAGCTGACCTGAAGCTACTCGACCGACTTCAGCTCGGGCACAAATGCGTCCACACAGCGTGGGGCTACTCATGCGCCACTTGAACGCGCCACCCTCTGCAACCGGCAAAACAAGCCACTGGGACACCACCCCTCGGCAAATGCAACACACACTGACTGGCCACCACTTGAGCTTGGCCCACGAGCCTACAAAAGCAGCTGCAACCGCCATCTCAGTGACTCTCAGGCCTGACTGGCCACAGTCAACTCCAACCCCGGCTTCGCCAGTGTCGCCTGAGAGGACAACTCCGGGTTCTGTGCACAATAAATCCCTCATGCCGGCGCCTTTTGTCTTCGCCTTCCAACACTAGGATTTGCCCCGATTATGGTAGCGAACAGACAGGGACACATTCACACCGCCTCGTCACAACAGGCCAAAACGAAAAGTAAGAATGTGTGAAAATGTCCTAGCAAATCGATAGCCGGTTGACCTGTGACATACAAAACGACATAAGCGCGCTACAGATTCTCAAGTTGAGCAACGTTCAAAACAAATTTCGAAGTAATCTGCAGTAGTCTCATGTGCAATGCTGTTCACTCACTTGCTTGATGATAAGTGATGGAGTGTTGAATTAGAGAGACGAGTGGAAATAAGGGTTTTCCGTATTTAATGCCTACTATTATTCGATCGACCTGGGTATGGAGGGCCAAGTGTGACTTCCTGGATGAGAACACGGTAGGAATAAAAAGGTTTAGGGTTACTTATAGAGAGAGTGGTAAATTAGTAAAAGACTTGAAGTTCACCTGGCAGGGATAATGATTCGAGTTTCATTTTGTCTGGTTGGGCAGATTTTTCCTGACGGAAATGAAATCCATTTATTTAAAACCTATTCGAAGCATGAAAACCAACCACGCAGAGGCTGAACTTCCACAATGGAAGCTTAAGATTAATATGCCTTGATCGAATGAGAAACCTTTAGTGTGTTTGTTGCTTAGGCGTCCTTTGGTAGGTCACTTCGCCGTTTAATGTCCGTGTGTTTTATCTATTTAGTGCGGAATGGAGGCGGCACATAAAATAATTGACTTTTCCTTGTACTCCCTTGACTAGTCCTGAAATCTTCTATCGCAAATACTTTGATTTTTGATATGATTAGACAGTTTTGCCTACTGATGCTCAATCGTACGTCCACTCGGAATGACTATAGGGATATTAAGCTGTTTCCTACTGGTTAATGCGCTGTCTCCTCTTCCCAAATTCAACATCAGTCAACAATAACCCGCAAGAATATTGCTACTGGACGCCTTCAGGTCATATCCGTCCTTTTATGATGTGCAATTTCGCATTGGCCCTATAACGATTGTGTATATTGAAACACTGCTTCTGCGGAATAAATTTGAACAAGGCAATAACGACGAAACATGCAGGCTTTCACGACTTAATGATTTAATGACGTAACGTTTTCCCGGCATAAATTTGAACAAGGCATAGACGAAGAAACTTGCAGAATTTAATGACTTCATAAAACCAAAAGTCTGTAAGCAGCTGGATCACGTGACCAACTTTGCACTGATATGGTAAGAATCGCTAATGGACGTAACCTCATTCCCATACCCGTCCTGGC